AGAAGTGGAAGGGAGAAGAGAAGTGTAGTAGTGGACAGAGAAGAAGAACCAGAAATATGAAATAATTTTTTGTTTTAATAAAAAGAGAAAAAAAGGGGGAAATTAATATTGAAGGGGTGGAGGATAGAATGACACGTGGCATGGTGGAGATGGGTGCTGGAGGCTGTGATTGGACGGGGGGAGTTAGGTGGGGCCCGGCGAGAGATGTGAGTTGCAGCGCGTCTTGGAATTTTGGATGCTTTTCGGCTGACGTGTCGGCGTTGGACTCCTAATAATCCTGTGGTTGCCAGCCTACGTATCTCTCTCTAAGTCTCTAGTGTACAGGCGCGTGAACTGCACGCTACTGTCCCGGGTTCGCGTGCCTCCTGTGGAGCGTTGTGCGGTGCACGCGCATGAAATCTAGGCCGGTTTGGTTGTCACCAATCAGAATGGAGCCGTGGAGATCAGGTTCGTTCTCATCATTTTGTTTTAGCTAAATAAAAATACACGTTTTTTCAATTTAGTGTGTTTAAAAAGTGTCCATTTATTTTATTATATATTTTAACTTTTTAAAAAAATTTAACCTCTAATAATTTTTTTAATATTTGCGAGTAATGGATTACTAATTTCACAAGACAATCATCTAATTACTAGGTCATTTCATTATGATTTGTAATGTTATATTTTTAATAAAATTTGATCCACAAAATATTCAAAATAGTATTACAAAACACTCAAATTTAACTATGAAAATAATATAAATTAGCCACAAAATCAAGCAATTAAAAAAGACATTTAAATATAGTACCAAAATGATCAGTTCAACTAAAAGATCAATAATGAAATTATATAATTTAAAATGATCCAATTCACTGTTTCATTTTAGGTTTTAGAATTTTTTTTAAATTAAGTTTATAAACTCAAGATTATTTGTTTTACTATCTATTTTTATGAACATTTTCCAAATCTTATAACTCAGATTTTGAAAACTAAAATAAAGTAAAATTTAATAACTTCTTGTTACTTTTCTAAATTTGGCTAAGTTAATTTCATTATTTACATCTTATTTATTATATCTTTATCTTAAAAGTAACACCTAGAGTAGAACTTAACCCAAAAATTAAAAAAAAAAAAAAAAGAAGAACAAAAACAAGAGCAAAAAGTGAAAAACAAAAACAAAAGCAGAACAAAAACCTAGGGTAGAACCAAAAGTTCTCACATAAAAAATAAGTTTTCTATAACAAGGGTTTAAAATGGAGAGTCATGTTATCTTTTTAGTTCCAAAATTAAGAAAGCATTGTTTCGTGGAGTTGCATTCATGTGATTTGAACTCAAGATCTCAAAATATTCCTTGAAGCCTCAAGACACCCAAACTATCCCTTGGGGACATAACGTGATACATTATTGATCAAGAGTCTGATATTCTTCTTGCTGATCAAGGATTGTTACAGTATCGGATAACACTATAATATATTTTATCCATGTTTGCAAGTAAGATAATTGTCTCTTCAGTATAGTGGAATCTATTTCTTAGTTCAAGATCTCTCTTACTAACTTGAATCAAAATTCGTAAATTTGTTCCATCCACAACAGAAATGAGCTAGGGTTATAAACTTATAATCTATAATCTAATGATCAAGTCAATTCCATGATTATAAGTTCATTTCATATACCAGACCAAATGAGAAAGGGTCATTTGAGCGTATTTAAATAGATACTATGTTTACATATAGATCCCTACGTTCTTGCATTCTCGGAGTCTTCCAACATATAGCACATTAACCCATAACCAATGAAAATTGCCTCCAATAGATACGGTGGCAAGCTGACTTCCCATTTAAGAAAACATAATCAGTATTTTATTCATAGAATTATATGTTCGGTTTGACGATGAAGGTAACGTTATAATTATATTAGAGAATTTTGAAAAACTCAGGGTTCATATATATCTTTTTCAAATTGAATATATCTTATAGTTTCTTGAAATTATTGTAATTAGGGACCAACACAATATATTATCAGTTATTATCTTTTTGTGTTCTATTTTGCAATAAAAGTATTACAGTTAAATGACCTAAAATCTGCTAAGTTGTTCTCCCACTTTTACTTGTTTGTCTAGAAGCACTTAATATTGTAGGTTATAATTACAACTTACAAGTCTTATGATATGTTGGATTTGTAAGGTAACACAATTATCTTAATTGGTATGAGACCTTTTAGATGGAAGCAAAAGTAAAGTCGTGAGGCTTATGCTTAAAACAGACAATATCATATTTGGAGATAAATGGGTCTTTAACCTAATATTATTAATTAAAAAAAGAAAAAAAAGAAGAAGAAAGTCCAACTCTCCCCCTTCCTTAACCATTGAATCTAACTCTACTAAAAAAAATAAAAAATGGTAATGTATAAAATAGATCTTGTTCTAAGTACATATCGTAAGTGATAAAATTTATCAACAATACAAAAACATTATATCAATGATATAGGTATATTAATGATACATTTTATCAATTATAGAAAATTTGTAAATCAGTAATATAAGAGCTATATAAAATAAAATATTATCTTATTTACAAAAGAAAAAAAATTTTGCCAGACAAATTTTCAAATTAGTTTTGTGTGTGATAAATTTATAAATATAATAATTATTTTTGTCTCTTTCTATAAATTTTCAATTCAATGTATTTTTAAAAATATTATGACTTTTCATTTTTCTCAAATAAAGCATAAGTTTTCTTGGTGTATTATTTTACTCTATATTTAAACTACTTGGATTATGCTATCTTTTTAAAAATTTTAAACTTTTTTATATATAAAAACATATATTTATTTCAAGTTATTTATACAAATATTCGACTAGATAATAATAGCAATAATAATAATAAAAAAAATCGATTCAATAGGAGAACTTCACTCAATAAAATTTATAGATTAAACTACAAGTATCATTTTTTTTTTTAAAGTTGAGTCAATCACTTAAAAAAAATGTATAATAAATTTTTATACTTTCAATCTGTTATAAACTAAAATTTTAAATTATTGGCCTAATCTATAGGTTATTGAATTTTAATTCACTGATCTGGTAAATAGAAAATTAAGGGGGTTTTCCCCCCTTTTTGACATGAAAGACTTTAACTCTTTTTTTTTTTTTCTTTTCAATTTTAAGTTGAACTAATAGTTGATATTATGACTTTGTACCTTGGACGTAAACTTAAAATATAGGATAGAGTTTTGGTTGAAACAACAGTAGAAGCCACATTCTTGATATAAAGTCATGCATGGATAGAAATGACAACGTATTTGACTCAAACACTGCAAAGTTGAAGGAGAGATGAGTAAAGAGAGAAAACTTCATAATTTTCCTGAGAGAAATATTTGTAAGAGAGAAAATCGTGGAAGGTAGGATTGATTGAAAGTGTGGGTCTATCAAAACTAGGAGAACAACAAAAAATATTAACTGATGAAAGAAGACAATGTTTGATTGTCAAACGTGAGAAATCTATAAAGAAATAATGACACTTAGGTTGGATTGTCTTGGATTTCTTCGTTTGTCTCTTCATGTCCTCTATTTAATGCTTTAACATTAATTTTCATCAACCCCTCAATTTTTATTTTTCTTTTTGTTTCTCCCTATCTTTTGACTGTGAGAGGAACAAATAATATTTACTCTATTTCCCAAACTTGTTTTGTGTCCCCAAAATATATCAACATTTTTTTTATATTCGTGAGTGTCCGGGTCAGTTCACGCGTACCTCGACTAATTTCACGGGACAACCACCTGACCCTACAACATTTGGTATCGGTAAACACATAGGAATTACTAATTCATAAGGTAGGTGACAATCATGGATTTGAACTCATTCCTTCTTAATTATCTTGGCCCATTTGGACCAATAAACCACTTATGATGGTTCCCAAAATATATAAACATGATTTTGAATGCGACTAAGATTCTTTGATTTGTTTTCCATAGCTCAACACGTCATCAAATTTCATATTTAATGAATAATTTGATTGAAACAGTTTTAATGATCCAAGGTTAAAATAAACTTTTTAAATGATAAAGATACAATTGAAATAAGTTGGACATAAATGTATATGAAACTTTTACCTATCTACTATTATTTCACACTTAATTGTTCATTTTTTAATTTAGTTGTAATTGATATATATCTCTCGTCAAGAATTTATAAGTTTGAACTCTGTCCTATCTTACCTGTTGTAAAAAAAAAATGGCTAATTTTTTCATTGTCACTTGAAAAAAAGAAAAAAAAAAGTTGACATAAATTTGAAATTAAAAGTAAAAATAGAACTTGAAAGTTTAAAGATATTATTGAAAGTTGAAACGTGATTTTGTATAATTTAACGGAACATCTAAATGGTTTTCCCCAAAAAAGAAGAACATTCAAATCATACGCTTCGTTAGCGTCTTCCCACTCCATTTTGTAAATTTTCTTCTCGTCGAGCTTAGAATCGACGGGAATTTTCAGTCTATGATGTCCGTGCCGCTTAATTCGGCCATGGACGAAGTCCCTTTGGGTTCATCCACTTGCAGCGCCTTCGCTGACGAAACCACCGACAACGACCGGGAAGAAATCACGGCGGTCGATTGGTATCCGGCGAATTCAAGCCGTACGGTTTACGACCTTCCACCGTGCATAAAACGCAATAGGAAGAAGAAGAAGAAGAAAAATAGGGTTATTGATAATGTCCAAGAACTGCCGTCTTCGTCGTCTTCTTGTTCTTCGCCCGCGAGATTGCTGCAGAAAGGTGTGAATTGCAAACGCCGACGCCCTAAGGTTCTAATTGCTCAATCGCGACGTGTCGATGGCGATTTCGAAAATGTGGCGCTTTTACTGGGAATGTCATTCGCGGCTTTTGTTGCTCAGGTTCCGTCTTCTTCTCCTTTTTCAATGGGCTTCTCTGGCTGGCGCAAAGTTTGCGTTTTGGTGGTGCTGTTCTTCGTTTTCATGCTTCTAAACGGTCAACATTCTCTTATTTCAATCCTCTATGCGTTATTTTTGAATTTGTGTTCATATGATTAGGGAAAAAAGGTCTGAATCTTTACATTTAAGTCCATGTCAAATTTGACTATCGTGTTCTGTTGAAGTTGAATGCTGCCTAAATTACATACTTCTGGGCGCCTAGGAGCTGTTTTTATGTGAAAGATTCTGAAAATTTATTTGACCCCTTGTATGATTCGACTTGCTCATTAAATTTTTAGGAGTAAATGTAATGACAAGTTATGTTTCCTCAAGTGTTAGTAGTAACCGAAGCAAGGTATTTTTTCTTTTTGGTTCCCCAAGTCTATTTAATTATCTATATTTATGTTAGAAGATGTGGGTGGAAAGTCCAAATTAATTTGGGAGTTTTTTCTTTTAAATATGAACTTTCTTTCAAGTTGGTATGTAAATCTTGTGGCTTAATGATATGCTCAATATCCCAAATTTAGAACTTTGATGATCACAAATCTTTAAATGAAGTGCATTTTCTGGATTTCATGTGACTTATCTGAAAATGAGTTGAAGCTATTAATTTCATTGACTAGTTCATGGCATATTATGATGTTAGGTTTTTTAGGGCCGATCACTATGTGTTGTGCGTTTCTGAGGACTGGCAATGGGTTTAACTGTTTGATGATCTTTGTGGGTTTATCTATTCTGATTTTAGGTGATTGAGAAGCAGAACATGTCTGGTGAAAGGATGTCTGTTGATCACCTATCGGTGGTATGCCCCTGTTCTTTATTACGAATTCCTGAAGAAGCTTTGGAACTAACTTAAATGAAAAGTTATTATTGTTTTTCATTATATGGAGCAATGTTCAATGTCCAATGTTGCAGTGGTAAATATGCAAGTTTTGAATTGTTCCTCAACTTGTTGAAATAAGAAAAATAAGAATAAGAAACAATTGATATTCATGTAACTCTTTGGAATCAATTGAACAAGAAGCTGTATAGTGTGTCCTAATCTATTATTATCCAAATTGTAGTATTTATTATCAACATTTCTTCAAATTATTTTCTTCTTAATTCCCATAATGTAGATACACTGGTGTTCATCTAGTATGTAGTGTTTAAAGTGTTGCTTGGTATGGGCCTAGTCTATCTACAATTGATGGAGCTTTACCACCGAGTCATTCTCTAATAAGATATGATTTCGATTTCTTTGAAACTATTGTTTGCATTGAGCCATATGATACAAGATTGTCTTGTCTACCTGCAGATTTGCACTTCAGCTATAAGAGAATCTTTGGTCAATGTAAGTTTGATCTCCAACTACAGCTTTTGCTTCCTACTTCTTTCTACAAGTTCTCTTTTATTCATTCAGCACTGCCCAGGGTCCAACTTCCAAGATGCATGTTCTCTGACCGATTATATGGAAACAGGTTTTTGGGGACAAGCTTGATTGGTTTTTGAAAAAGTTTGAGAAATCATTTGGCAGCACGTTGAGAACTCTCAGATCAATCAGTGAATCATCCACAAAAACCGGAGTGTATTTCTCCAGCAAATGCAAGGAAGAAAAAATCACAGTAGATTTGACCCTTGCCAGGAAAAGAGATATGACAAGTAGTTCTAGTATGGAAGAATGTTGCTCGGGAGAATCTTCTAGAACCGATGCCCCTATTGACCAATTAAGTTCAATTGAAGAGAAGGAAAGCGTTTCTGATTCATTGACTCGTGAGTTAGCTTTGTGTAGACTGACAAGCGATGTGGCTTCTGTTGCGCCAAGGGCGATTGGTTCCCAAAGCAATGAGATAGCACTCAGCACTTTCGAAAGATCCATTGTTGAACAGGCTCGTTCCAACGATCTTAAGACATTGGAGATTAACCTTGCAATGAGGAAATTAAAGTTGAAAGAGACACAAATTGCACTCAATTGTGACTTAAACAATCTCGAGAGATCGAAATTAGCAATGGGCATATCAAAAGCCTCTTTTAAGGCCGAGAAATTCAAGAATCAGTTAGAAGACACAAGACACTCGGAACTTCTTAGAAGGTGCATCGACTGTCTCGTTGCTGGTTTGCTTATAATGTCGGTGGGCCTCTCTTACGGAGCATATGTTTATTCATATCAAAGAATTTCTGAAGCTACTGCAGTCTGTACACCTTCAACCCAGGCAAGTGCAACCCCTTCTTTCTGTTACAATTTTTTAAAGGATCTTATAGAAAACTTGAAAACTGTATTTGTCAGGACAATTGCTATACACTTTGTTCACAGCAATCATTCAATTTTTTTATCAAGCCAAGATCTTTTCTGTCAATTTTTTGAGAACTGTTCTGGATGATTGATGGTAGATGAGTTTTTCCATCACATATCATTCGATTTAAAGCATTCGTTCGTTCGAGGAACTTATTTGAGGTTCTGTGTTGTTTACAGGACTCGAAATCTTGGTGGATACCAAATCCTATGGCATCTTTTAATTCTGGGCTGCATATGATTAGGTGTCAAGTTCAAGTTGTGAGTCGAATGGCATTCGGTGTCATTATGATTCTTGCAATTGCTTACTTGCTTCTCCAACGTTCAGCGACATCAAACCAGGCAATGCCAGTTACTTTCATCGTCTTGCTGCTTGGAGTTGCCTGCGGTTTAGCTGGGAAGTTGTGCATAGACACGCTGGGAGGAAGCGGATTGCTCTGGCTCATGTACTGGGAGACTTTATGCTTATTACACTTATTTGCCAACATTTTTACATCTGCACTGTTTTTGATCCTACACGGCCCGGTCGGGGTTTCTCAAGGGAAAAGTCGCCGCACGATCTTCCCGTACTGGATCCGCCGTGTTGTATTCTACGCCATTCTGCTTGTGTTTCTGCCATTGGTGTGTGGGCTGGTTCCATTTGCTGGGGTTGGTGAATGGAAGGATCACTTTTTTCTTCTCATAACGGATATGTTTGCAGCAGACGGCTACTGAAGCAAGGATCTCACTACCGGATGCTGGTGCTTTAATTTCGAGCAGAGTTACACATTTTTATCTGTAGAGTCCTCTTGACGAATCCAATCCACTGGATTATTTATTTTGTATTAATTTTTATAGGAGCCCTTTCTTAATTTATCTTTTTTACTTTGAGATAGCCGTGGAGTTAAATTGTTAATTTTATCATTAAAGTGTTGCTACATTATATTGTATCAATATCTTGCTTCCTTCTTTCCTTTGACACGTACGCTCTGAGAAGAAGAATAAGAGGCAATATTATTTTGTTTTAGAAATAAGAATTTTTGTTACTTTTTTTAAGAGTGCGAAATTTGAATTCTCAACATCGCGAGTGTAACTGAAAAATCCATGACTGATTCTTCTAAATGACTATAATTGAAGGGTCGGCAAATAGATTCATTGATTCTTCTAATCAGTAATCAGATTCTACAGTTGAATTCTAATATTTCTATAAATAAAGTGAGACCCAATTGTCGAGGAGGAAAACTTTTGGGGGTTTCCCCAAACTCAAGTGGCGGGAAGCCCCCATCTCTGTAGCTGAAAAACCGGGGCTTACACATTCAATTTTTACACATTCCTTATGATCGGTGGTAACGGTACCTACCTTAGCTTAAAAGTTCTAAGGCAACAGCCTGATTCAAAATCCTCGATCGACAAATGTGCGGAACTTGCTTCCAAGAGTTCTTAGTGAGAACTCAGTACCCCTTCAATCGAGCAGGGCTAGAAACTTCTTTCCTTCTTGTCCATCACCAAACCGAATCACAGAATCTCGTGAGCCTTTCCGTAGTACCTGTTTATGAATGGAGCCTGAAAGCAACACCAGCAAAAGAGAAAGAATTAACATGAATGATTGATAGCAATTTCTTAGCTGGTGTCAATGTTACAAAAGCATAACTCAATTAGGTAAGATATATATCTTTGATAAAAGGTCGAAGGTTCGAATTTCCATCCTTACATGTTTAATTAAAAAAATCATTCTATAAAAAAATATAACCTCGCTGGGTCTGACTTCTGATTGTGTAATGTTATATATTATACTTCCACTCTGTCACATTAGCAATGTTTAGGACCACCACTAGTAGTATCAGCTTTAGCCTCTTTCTCTAGTCAAAACCATTTAAAGCCTTGGTTTAGGGTTATTTCTTCGACAAACTATGACCAATGAACTCAATGCAAGACAACACACACACAGTAAATGGTTAAAAGTCATGCCCATTAGTAAGGCATCAATTCCTTTTGGCAAGTCCTTGAGCAGTTTTAAATTTTTTATCATTCAAAAATTTGATTTCGAATTTTAACACTAAAGCTATTGTATCTCAAGACACCGATTAACAGTATTGAGTATAGCCTACTGATCTAACCAGATTTCCTTACCTTGACGTTGGAAATATCAGGGCTATCTTGTGTTTGAACTGGGTAGAACTTGTAGAACCTCATTTTCTCAAATGCTGCTTTTGTTTCCTCGCTCATTTCCTGAAGCACTTTCTTACGTGCTTCCCTTGCCTGTAACGAGTACAACCACCACTACTATCAAAAGAATTAATAAACAAAAACTGAAAAGGAACCGGAAAAGAATATTACATATAACTTGCCTCTCGATTAGCTTTCTTTGCTTCTCTAACTTTCTCCTTAACGAACTCCTAAGGAAGATGTGCTCAAACGTTAGTCATAGCATCCAAAACGTAAATTGGTGAGTGTTGTAGTTTTCATCATATACTACCTTGAAGGCATCCTTCTGATCTTCAGATAATTCCTCCTCTTCAATCAGCTTATCTGTGAACTCCTAGAAAATATTGAAAAGATCCGTGATCATTTTTGAACTGTCTTCAAATAATGTATTTGAAAAAGAGAACTGGAAGAGTTAGGAATAAGTCTGCAAAAAAGTTCAAAAACTAAAATCAGAAGGCCGATTCCTGTACCTGAAGTTCATCTAGTTCCCAATCAAATTCACAGAAAATCTGCAGTGACCAACATAAAGTTTGAATTAGCAAAGGACATCGGAGACCTTATATTAAAGATATATATATATATATATTATCAAACTAAGTCAGTGCCACTCTCAATCATCATAATCAAGTCATCACTGAGTGGGTAAAGAAACCAGAAAGTAATAGCACACTAGCGAAAGTTTGCGTTCAATCATCTTCCTAAACAATCACAATCATTATCTTTCTCCCCATCATATCACAGGCTAAAATCTTACTGGCTTTGGTTCGGCTGGAAATATTATTTGGACCTCGGTGCTTTGCTCCAGCTCATCTTCCTTGAAGGGCTGGTAGAAATCTGTCAAAAGAAAAGGTATTTGTCAATCTAGAAAAGCTAATTCTAAAGCTAAAGGGCTCTGAAGAACCAGAAAAGATCAACATTTCAAGTTCGGAGCTAACCCATTTCTCCGAATCAGACCTCCTCCCCTCAAAGAAGTCACTTTTAACTTCTATCAGGATCAAACAGGTACTAATTGGTATGCAAACACTCAACATAGGAAAAAGACTTCGAATAACAAACAAAAAAGAAACAAAGTACGGAAAAACTCACAAGGCAAGCAGTATTCGTACTTCTTGACACGATCTATCTTCAAATGCTTTAGAGCAGCCCTAAGAAGGCGTCAATTGTCATAAATTTGAAAATGAAACAAGTCAAAGTAGTACTCAAACAAAGCAAATGTAATTCATCAATTGCCAATTTGTAGCTAAAATATTTATTAGGGGCATCAGTCAATACAGGTTCGACATATGGATTGAGAGAATTACTATTGGCATACTACCAGCCTCATCAAATATTGACCCTTTCTCTTTTTGTCTTTTTGGTTATTATTTTTTTCCTCTTGAGATGGCATGCAATGTGATAGGAGATGGTAGTCTGTGGTAAAGTCAAATACCTTCTCTGAGTGCAACTTAATATAAATATTTGGGATTTCAGCTTATCAACTCGGCTATCCCTGTAGAGGAATTGCGTTAAGCCATAAAACAAAGTTATGCATGGAATAGAAAAGGTGTCCAATCGCAAACAACACAAGAAATTCATTGGCAGTTGAGCACCTATCCTCGAGAGGAATGTAGGGAACCCAACCCATTTTCATCTGTTTCATGGGTATGATCTCTTCAGCTTCTCGTTGAACAGAGTTAATCCCAATTTTATCAGAAGGTGGGAAAGGTGAGACAACCTAAAGAACATAAAATCAGTTAACTACAAGTAATTGCTAGAATACAAAAAAAAAAAAAAAAAAAAAGTTTAAAATCTAATAGTAGCAACTAGCAGTTACTCCAAGGAAAATAAATACACCAGCTAATACAGGAAACTAGTCGCATTTCAATCTACAATAAGACAGTAAAACAAATAATTCGAACAACTTACAGCCACCACTACAGGAATGCAGATAACTCTACTTTCACCCTTGAAAGAGACAAGTTGTGCTGCAATGATAGAAAATCATATAAAAAGGGACGTGTATAGTTTTTCAGGTCTTCTCAAAGATGGAAAAAGAGGAGCTCGAGTTTTAAGTTACTTACGCTCTGTAGAACCAAATAGGTAAACTTTCTCCCCGTATAGTTTCCCCCCTTCTTCAAATGCATCCTGATCATGATTAGAACTTCACTTTTAATCCTTGTAACAACTTGAAAGGGTATAATATATCCAATACTATAGTCAGAGAAATAGAGGGATGAAACTACAAAGATACAGCAGAATTATAACTCACTTCAAGATTCGAGAAATTCCAATTGTACTGGTAAACAGAATCCAGTTGATCCCACTGATGTTATAAAACCATTAAGCGTTAGTGACAAAATAAAATTGTCCACACAATAGAGAACCAATATACCACGTTCCAAAAAAGACAGACCTCTGTTCCCACAGGGAACGCTGCCTTCCACAGGTCTTCCTGAATAAGACAAGTAGGTATTCTCGATCAGTTAAATCCTCAGAATCCGCAACATTTAATTATTATTAACAGCACTCCTCTTCCAACGATTTGAATAAAATTACGTGGTTATCAGTTATCATAAAGGAACAGAGTGCGGCAAATTCCTGATGAGTTGCCCACTGTTCTAGTAGCTTAACGAAATTGTGCTGTAAAGACATACTGCGAAGCAAATAGCAATCCAAGGTCTATTCATTCTCAAATCCTCTATACTTCTCAGTAATCAAATACAACTATTTCCAGATTGGGATCAAACACCAAAGACTCAGAAATGCGAAATGCAGAGTGAAAATGCAAGGTTAATTGTGTACCAAATTGCGCTTATCCTGGAAGTACTCCGGTTGGGAATCAGGTTTGGAAGCCTTGACTCGCTTAGCTCGAGTAGCTGCTGTGGCTGTGGTAGATTCTTTACGGTTCTCCTTCTCCGCGAACTTAGCATCTTCGTTCTTACTAGCTTTCCTCTTGGTTCCCTTCCTCATCGCGTTGGAACGAAGGTGAGCAGAACTGGAAAGTGGCAGATCCAGAATTCGAAAGAAGGAGAGGGATCACTTCAATGAGCGTGAAATTAACGCAGACGAAACGGACGGTCCGGATTTGAAAGTGAGAGGCGGGCGGCGGGTCTGGGATTAATTTTGAAATCTGATGGGCCGGGCCAAGCCGTGACAATTGGGCCTCTATCCTCTTCTCATTTCCGGACCCATGGGCTCATTAGGCCCATTAGTGAATATAAGTATGTAAATGTGTTTTTTTATTATTATTATTGATATTAATTATTGGTGGGTGGGGGCATGGGTCCCCCACGTGGGAGAGAAGCAATAGAAAACAAGACAAGACGGGGGGTGGTGGTCCCGGGAGGACAAAAAAAGGCACGCTTTCCTGTCTGTCGACTGCACGTGCGGCTAGGCTTGTGTTGTGTAGTGACCTCATAAGTCATAACTTCCTCCAGCTGCCCGGTCCTGTCTGTCGCCTTCTCCACCCCTTCCCTTTCTCCATCCGCACGTGCCCCATCCTCCCGCAACACGCCTCTCCCTTATATTCTATGCCATGCGGCCCATGCCCATGCCACAAGACAACCCATCAATTTTTATAACACGCCAAATTCTCATCGCTCTAAATCTAATTATATATTGAAAATTGAAGGGTAATAAATGGATAAATTATACTAAAATTTTAAGAATATGTTTTTTAAATGTAATACGGGTAATTCGATTTGTCTTCTTCCTTTTCGTTTTAACTCTAATAGATGACGTTATGTATGAAATTATTGTACTGAAGTGAGGTTGAGGAAATAATGGAGTTGGAACTTTGCGATGAATCACCCAATTAAGGTTGGATTTGATTGAACATGATCGAGATGATATACCTAAACCAATCCATGAAGATTCTCTCTATAAATAAGAGAAAGATAGAAGAAACATAACGTCATACAATTATATCTTTTGTTATTTTCAACAATTCTTTATCTAACTTAAGCATTTGAAATATGTTGGACTTAGTAGTACACTGAAGTGCAGATATGTTGTGTGTACATATATTCGTTGATGTTGAAGCATTGAAGGTAGAGTCTTCATCCAAATTCTTAATCAATATTTTGTTAGAGTATTTTAGTTCATAAATTAGATTTGGTTATGTATATATATATATGGTAGAATATTAGTTGTTGGTTAAATTATGGAGATAATTGTYGTGATTGTTGATATCATAGATTCACAACTCAGTCGCACAGATCCCTAGTGAGAGCGGTGAGTGATGGATGTTGCGGACTAAATTAATTCTGGTATTTATATTAATTTTATATCATATAATAATAGTCTATTTTAAAGTAAATTAGCACTAGCAAATCTTCAATGTTCCCATTGAAATCGCACCACATGTGCAAGCATATCCATGAAATAATTTTTAAATCACTATATACATATTTAACAAATAGAAGTATACTACAAAAATTTAAACTTCATGGATTTGTTTATATAATAGAATTTTAACAAGATATTAATAACTTTAATTATTTCGTTAAGTTTAATATAACACAATTAATTAGCAGTGTTTTTTATTTCATTAAGTTTAATATAGCACAACTAATTAGTAGTGTTAATTCATACCTAGAATTTTTACCTATTATTTAAGTTATACGAATGGTACTACTTTAAAAATATTCATTTTTTTAATTTCAATATCGGTGGATTGACATAAACATGGATTTAACTATAAACAAACAAAAATATTATAATTTAAGAAAGCAAATGTAGGTTTCATTCGTCCATCACGGGGTGAAAATTAAAGAATCGATCCACGATCCATTATTGCATCGGATGACCCTAAAGATTTGTTTTCAAACTACTATGAAGTGCAAATTGTACGATTTAACGAGCTTTCTGATTTGCCCCCCTAATAATATAAATATGTTTTAAATTTTGGTTAGTCATTCTTAAAGCTAAAATTTACATGATTTTATGTCAGGACATACATGTAATTAATTTATCTTCCTGCATTTCTATGACCTATAACATTAAACATACATTTATTGAAAGTCGAGAGAGGTCATACCATACATCCACGCATGTGACAACAACATATGAGGATGATTATGGTCCCAATTAACACACATGGACATATTAATCAAAGAAATATAATTATCATTATTGGAGTATGAAGTTCTTTCATTCAGCTACTAACTATTTTAGTCCAATCACTAGCCATCTAAGGTGGCACAAGACTCACAGTAAAATAAACAGTGATATGAACTAAAAAATCAAAAAATATTGGGCATTTCGAACACATGTAGCATAGCATTTTTGATAATTGAAACAAGTGATAAAAGTAACGTTTCGATGACAATGAAGTATGTATGATATGTTTACTTTTTCACCATTGGACTATGGGTATGCGTCGGAGATGCACGCTCTTATCCCTAGCTACCATTTCATTAAAAGTATTTCTAATTAATTATTACCTATTTTTCTCGCTACAATATGGCTAAGATGACTCGACTGGAGACTCTCTAGCAATGACGAGATTTCATCCATCACTACAAATTATAGGTTTACAATTAATTTTATGTAGCTCAAATTTCTAATACCCATCTCAGCTTTATACCTCTAATACATTACAAATTAAATTGTATGTCTTGTCTTTTTTAGTCAAAGAAATGTGGGGATGAAATATCAAAAAATTCAAAATTGAAATTATTGCTGAGAGTAGAAATCGCATTTTGAATTATTGTTGAATGCAAACAGTAGGGGGTCCAGAGAATGGAAATTGGAGGAGAGGAAAGCAATAATGGTGGAAATTTTGTAGGACCACAGACGGTGGCGCCTGATCCACTACAGCCTACACTTTTGGTTGGCTTATTATTTTGATTCAAGCCTGTGGTCAATCATATAGGTCCACCTAAATTAATTAATTAATTAATTTTTATTCCAATCTTTTTTTATCTTTTTAAATATTGAATCCTAGTTCGTTTTTCTTTTCTTCACTTATGATGAATAGATGAAGTCATACATGCTGTTGATTAAAGGTTGGTTTTTAAAATGGATCAATATATGACATAATTTATGAAGAAAATGATAACTGAAATTACGAAATGTATAGAAGATTTGGAAGTTTAAAAGTTAATTTATTTAAAATAGAGGGTTAAAAAACTGACTGGAATATTTTAAAAATAAAAAGTGAAGCAAAAATTCAACGACAGCGATAATAAATAAATACAAATCAAAATAATTAAAAAAAAAAGGGAATACCTTTGACCGGTCTAACTGTTATTTTCCTACGTGAATTCCAAAAAGGTAAAAACCAAAACTTCAATGTCAGCCTTGCCTCGAAATTTCTCACGCTGCAATTTTGAGGAGAATATTCAAATTTAATTAATTATTTGTTTAACAAATCTCATTATGATTAAAATAAGGTCACGGGGCAATTATTATTATTATTTTTTTATCGATGAATTTTGGAAGAATTAATGAAATTAAAAAGAAATGAAAGATTGTTATATTATTATTATTTGCTAGTCGAACTATATAAAGGGTTTTTATCCATTAAATTATATTTTAATTGACTAATTTATTTTAATTTTTAAATAATGATAAATAAAACTAGAAAATATAAAACAATAAATAAATGTGAGTGAGGAGGTATGACACAGAGCCAACCGATCCACGTGCCGTGACAAGTGTTTTTACTGGGACCCAGCAATGCGACAACTTTTTATTTATCAACAATCGAAATTAAACATATACTCAAACTTAAATTAAAAAAGAATGATGCTGTCACAATTCTCTAAATGACCCTGAACATTGGTTCTAATACCCAAATTACCCCTAGCGGAGGAAGAATCTAAAAGTGCGGTTCCTTGTGCAGAAGTTCAACAAAGAACGCGCTCTTCTCGTGAAGTTAGCTTGGTAGTCTGGTGCAGTACTTTACACACGCGCTCTCTCTCCTCCCCTCGAGAATCCGCTCTCTGATCGAGAATAAACCCTAGAAAACGAGAGAGAATGAGAAGGAATCCGGAGCTGGATTGCCGATGCTGAAGAAGAACGGGGAGCTGCTGCAGAGTGATTTATTGTCGCCTGAAGCAATGACGGGGAGGGGGTCATCGGGGAGGACGCCGACATGGAAGGAAAGGGAGAACAATAAGAGGAGGGAGAGGAGGCGGAGGGCCATTGCTGCTAAGATCTACACTGGTCTCAGAGCTCAGGGGAACTATAAACTCCCTAAGCACTGTGACAACAACGAGGTCTTGAAGGCGCTTTGTAATGAAGCTGGTTGGGTGGTTGAAGAAGATGGCACCACCTATCGCAAGGTTCTGCGCTCCCTCGCTACCTTTTTTATTTGATTTTTCGTACTTTTTTGCTTTTTGAGCGCGGTGATCATGATCTCTTCTTCAGATTTGTGTTTCTTGTTGTCGTAGTAGGTCTTTCTTTTCTACTTGCGCGTTTCTATTTATATTCGAGTTCGTTGTTTGGCTTAGTCTTTGATTATGTGCTTTTATTTTGTTAGATCTGGATATCTGGGAAACCGAGAATATAAGAATCAATTATTTTGATGAAATGAGTAAATGACTGAGGCCGAAACGAGAAAGCAGTGTTATAGTTTCCTCATTTAGATCTAGAATTCCTAAGCAGTTGATATGTCTAAATCTGCGAGGTTCTGTAATCTGTAGTAGTACGTAAGAAAGGTGTACCAGTTTATTTATCTTTCCCAAATTTATTGAGCTTTAATTAGGCATTTCCCGTGTCATTCCCTTTTTTGATGTTTTAGATGTAACTTGCAAGCTGCTAAAAAGATTATTCTTGCGCTAGTTTTGGATGCTCCTCCATAACTTTTAGAGGGACTGCGTTATCTGTTTATGATTTCAGCAATCTGTTTTTGATGCCTTGTCTATTTTTCTTACCTCTTATGTTGTTGGCTTGAACAGGGATGCAAGCCACCTCCGATTGATATTGGCACTTCTGCAAACATGAGTGCCTGTTCCTCTCTTCAACCAAGCCCACAGTCCTCATGCTTCCCAAGTCCTGTACCTTCCTATCATGCCAGCCCTTCTTCATCTTCCTTTCCGAGTCCATCTCGATTTGATGGAAATCCATCTTCTTATCTTCTGCCATTCTTTCAAAACATATCCTCTATCCCTGCTAATCTCCCTCCTCTTAGGATATCAAACAGTGCACCTGTCACTCCCCCTCTTTCTTCCCCAACGTCTAGGGGTTCAAAGAGAAAGCCAGATTGGGAGTCCATTTCCAATAGCTACGTGGCCTCTTTCCGCCATCCCCTCTTTGCTGCCTCTGCTCCTTCAAGTCCTACAAGATGCCACCATCTTACACCAGCAACAATTCCAGAATGTGACGAGTCTGATGCTTCAACTGTGGACTCTGGCCGCTGGGTCAGTTTCCAGACTGTGACACCTTCTATGGCTCCTCCTTCCCCTACATTTAATCTGATGAAACCAGTGAATCAACAAAACTGTCTCGAGGATGCAGTTGACAGACATGGAGCAATGGGCTGGGGTGCCCCATCATCTGATAGGGGACGAGGCAGTGAGTTTGAATTTGAGAAATTTGAGAGTGGCACAGTGAAGCCATGGGAGGGTGAGAGAATTCATGAAGTTGGGGTGGATGATTTGGAGCTTACGCTTGGGAGTGGGAAGGCCCGTGGTTAATCATCCACTTGAAGATATTTATTTCAAGAAATTAAGTGCCTGCTCTTTAAAGGTTATCGGTTTATATTCACAAAATATGTTTACTTTCTTAGCTTGGACCTGCACTTCTGCTACCATTAGACCGAACCCGGTGCCATCTTATGCCTTCATTTGAACAGTTCTTTCTCTTTGGAGCCTTTGCAAGAATCTGAAGTTGTTACATCTTGTAGTGGAAGAGCAATCAACATTTGAGTCAAGACCCAGGAAAGGACTGCATTCTGTGCTGGAGAATGAGAAGAACAATGCCGTTGTGATGGTTATATATTTTTCATCCCCCTTGGAGCGCTTTCAATTTTTTCTGGATCTTGTGATCCTTCAAATTTGCCCACGTGTATCAGAAAGTTCTTGTATATAGAATCTCTAATTCATCTTGCTTGGCATTATTGATACAAATTTCTATCCTTGCAGAACGCTAAAGAAATGAACAACAGTGGGAAAGTTGTTATGAACATTTGCCCATTTTCCGGGTCAGTTATGGTTCTTTCCATTTTCTGTTTTCATCCAAGGTCAATCATATACCATATTTCCAAAGGGCCTATCTAGTGTCTATATATATCAATATCCCGAGCAARACACATATTTCCTGGCCTATATTTCTAGATCTCAGATTTGCTAGTCTGTTGATGTTGGCTCCATCCTTTATACTCTACAAACTGGATGTTGAACTGCAAATAAATACTGTAATTATGTGAACGTTGGGTTCCAAGAAGATGTCCAGAGGGTGAAGGAGAAATGAGTTTTAGGTGAGGGGGCAATTCTGAGCTTTCTGCAGTGTGGTGGCTGCCTGTTATCTTGTGGTCCAGATGAGCAAGGAATCCAAGGGCCAGGACAAGGGGCCAAAGGGCCGCGACATGAGAAGTCTGTCTTTTCGGCTACTGGACCTTTAGGTGCTTCTTTTTGCAGATTGCTTACCGACCAATTAATTGACTTGCTTGCCGAATTATTAATAATCTGCTTTCTCAAATTCAACAGAGCCCTTTCTGCCTGCACCCGTGCCGTGCCGTAGCTCGATCTTCATATCGGTGGCTTTCTTTTTCATGGATGCCTTGGCCTGGTCGTTGTGACCCCCTTTGTGAGGACGCACCGCTTTTTCCGACGTTGTTTAGATCGAGTAACATCAGTAAGCAAGCAGTGAGGTAAAGATGAGAAATGAAAGAAATTTAATGAAACAATAAAACGTATAGGTTTTACATCATCTTTTTATTGCAAAATAGGAGGAAAAGAATAAATTTGGTACTAGAATTCTTTCTGAATTTCAATATATATGCGGGTCCATCGATTTGATCTCTTTATGGCCACTACAATTTTTTTTTTCCATTTTTGAAATACAGTCCTTTGGTGTAATGGACTACAAAAAAACTTCGGGTCACCATATTTGGTAATGGCTTTGAAGGCTGAAGCTTGTTTTAAATTTTGCAGCTTGATTTGATCTCTCTTGCTTGCTTCCCATTTGTTGCAGTAAAAAAATAAAATAATAATAATAGCCTCATCACCAATTCACCAATAACCTGAAACTAGATTTTTTTTAGTAAAGTATGTGGGGTTGGGTGGAGATGCGACTAAATTTGAAAACACGGTCCTAGTTTATCGATTTACATATATATATATAAGAAGTTTTATTAAATCTTAATAACATTTTAAATGATCGGGATTAAATTGCTACAAATTTTAAATTATAAAGACTTACATATTAAAATTGGGACTAAATTGTTATCCATTTGAAAGTACAATGACTAAATAATTACTAAAATCTAAAGATTAATTTTTTATTTAACCTTTTATTTTTATATACACAATATTAGTGGATCAAAATATGGGATCAACAAAGACATTTTACAAACTAAAGTTCTAAATTGCGTCTTCAATGAAAATCAACCCTTCTTTTTTTAAATATTAACTAGTGGAAATGGTATAATTGTGTTTAAAGTAAAGAACTAAATACAACTTTTTAAAATAATAGAAACTAAATTTTTAAAGCTGAGCATAATAAAAACATTTATTAGCCTAAAAATTATTAAAGTAAATTAATCAATATAATCAAACTAAACTAAATTTTTATTGAAACTAAAATCTCTTATCTCAAATATTGTAATTATTATAGAAAATATAATTGTAGGCCAAATAATAATTTCTAATGAAAATAATTTAGTAAAAATGTCTTCTATTGTTGCGTTGTTATTTGTTTTTTATATTAAAATTTAACATCGCACTCCTAACTCAAGTTATCTATCTTTAGTGCTACCTCAAGTTATATATTTACACATGCGTATATGTATGTATAATCACTAAAATTATAAAAAATAAAAAATAAAACCAACAAGTTATTCATACATTTTTTTAGAATACCTTCAAACACACTCTTAATACAACCGAAAAATTTTCCAAAGTATTTAGTACATATACATGGATACCTAGAGACAATGTGATAAAATATTAAAATTAAACATGTTAATCGGCCAACCATTAGAAAAATGGCATGTGATGTATATATTAGGATAATATTGGCATTTAATTTGGACAATAAAACAACATACTTTATAATAAATAAAGTCAAAGGAAATGTCACATCAAAATCTTCTGTCCAACCATGTAAAAGGTGAATTCTTTAGTCAATCAGTTCATGACAAATATTTTAATTTGATTTATCCAATTTATTTTTTAACAATCTTTTTGGTCAATGTTTCAGGAAAAATAAATAGTTGGATTCCTTCCAGTCAAGCAATCCCAATCTGTATAATCCTTTTTTTTTGTCCTTAAATGTATCGGTTGATTTATTTTATTTAATTTTAAATTGAGAATTTCGAAAAACTATTTTGTTCCCATCTACTTGTTTGTACGAAATAAAAAAAATTGTGAAAGTAAAACTAAAACTTCGTTAACATTGAAATATATTTTTAAGAAAAAAAAATGTTGGGAGCATAAGACTTTGAAAGATTTCCCCAGATTACTGTATATTTATGCAAGGATATGCACAACATTGTATTTCTGATTGTAGTTCGAACGCGGCCTCCGGACCGATCTGAATACTTGGGCGGACCTGCACAAAAAGGTGAGCACTCCGACGATCAAGTCAGTATAGGTCGGATTCCCAGTTTAGTTCGAGGTCAGAAATCATCGTATCTGATCGTGGAGTGAGGTCCTCTACTTATGGGTGGTAGTCCCGCTAATCTCGCGACAGTTACACCCGGCAATCTCGGGACCATCGGTTACACCCGGTAATCTCGGGACCGACGGTTACACCCGATAATCACGCCGCTGACAGTAGCTCACCTCGGCCCCCACCGAGCTTCCCGGTAGATCGGACCTCGGCCAGGTTCACCTCGGCCCTCATACTTAGCATCTGTCAACGCTAGCGGTGGTGATCTCGGCRGTCCGAGCTAGGCATGACTCATGAGTTACACCAATAGGGGTCCTCCACGTGTCCAGGGTATTCTCTTCCCCAAACACTGTAGATGTCAAAATCCCTAAATATTTCATGGTAAGATAGAATTACACTTTGTGGTAGGCCTAGAAAAGGTGCTTGAAACTGTTCACTTTTTAACCAAGGACTGAGCATTTGTGGAATGATTGATGACTCGCGGTGAAGATAATGGTTTTATCAAGCGCCTGTAGATGATGCTAGTAAACTACTTGTATTGGTGTCTTGATTGTCATTGAGACTAAGCTGTTGCTAATTTATTTCATTACTTAGTTTGAAATCTGAAATATAGTCATATCCTTCTTGCCTTGAAACATGTATCCAGTGGGGAAAAACTAACCCAACATCTAATCGATCTTGGTAGGATCCCATTTTTGGATTTGATTTGTTCATCCTGAAGAGAGTGCATGCAGTCGAACACCACATCGATGTGAAGATCTGTTTGTAGGTTGTCAATTCAGTAGACTTGAAATTTGTCTTGATAAATCACCTCATCCAAAATCCAACGTCAACCATAATATTTCTTATATTTAAAACTATCCTCAAAATTGAATATGAAGTAGGAAATCAACTAATACGCTATTAATTAATAATCCTTCAAGTTTTTATCTCGTCTTCTATCCCTTATAATAATAAATTGGAGTATTACTCAATCACTGTCCTACACACATATACATGTATTAAATCCAATGCCTCCTCCATCTTAAAATACTGTTATATGAATACTCATATAACTTTATTATTCAAAACCTAACACGCGAACAATTTAATTTAAATTAAACCTTCTTTTAAACAGTTGAAGTTTCAACAATAATTGTGTGGCCAACACACAAACAAGGTATGTTAATTAATGAAGTTAAGGATTAAAACATTCAAAATTTCTCTAACTAATATCTATATATAAGAGAGTTGAAATTAAAACATTATTAAATGGTGCATTTAACGATAGTCCTTAGCACAATTTGACATGTCGTTTGGGCATAGACTAATTAATGTGTGGCTTCCACTAATATCCAAAATACAAGTCTAAGGTTCAAGAGCTGCCTCTCCACCACCTAGAAGAATACAACCACCAATAACTATTCAACCTTAATTTAATTATTTATTAATTGTTGTTTTGATTTTTCAACCTTTGAAAGGAAAACCAAAGTTATAAAAGTACTAATACCAAGTCTAAGAATTTAAGGTATAATTAAAAATGGTAAATTTATTTCTCAAACATTCAAGACTATTTTAGTTCATGTAATTTCGATTTTGATTTATTTTAGCCTATTTTTTTTAATATTTATTCATTTAAAGTTCTAAAACAGTCTAAAAATATATATATTAAAATAAATAAAAGTTAAAAGTCATTAAAATCCAAAGTAAAAGAAAGAGAGAGAGCAAAAAAAAGAAGAGAAGGTGGCATGGAGCACATGTATCCAATGCAGCAGCTGTGAGAACTGACATTATTTAAATYCAATAACACAAAAAAAATAAAATAAAATGAGTAAATGACATTAGGAATTTTGTCGTTTCTGTTCCGTCAACGTAACGCCGACCATTTCAACTTATAAACAATCGTTTTACCATTATCGAAGCCAGTAATAAGAAATCAGCATTTTACTTTTATTCTTAAAATTAGTTAAAGATATAAATATTCAGTTTGAATCTCATTTTCTTACGCTGTTGTATGATTTTTTCAATAAACCTTCAAATACTCCATCTTAATCTTAAAATTTTGTTCATTTTAAAGAAACATTTATATATTTATAATAAAGAAGGTGAAGATTTGAAGGATAAGTATAAAAGGGGATAGCGCTCGCTTATATAACTGATCCCAAAGTTGGGGTTTGGTCAAAGATTGATGGAGGGTCAATTGGTCGTCTTCTGAGCTGATAGTTTCGAGTTTCTCTCTATCCGACACGAAACCCACATTTCGATGCAAATTGCAAATTTATTTATTTTCATTTACCAAAATTATTAGCCTAATTTAATTATTATTTACGAGATCCACATTTTCATTTTCTTCATGTAACAGATTTGAAATTGTATTATTCCTCTGTTAATTAATTAGCTCGTCACAAAAGAAAAGGTGGTACCTCAAATCTGAAGGTCAATACTTCTTAATTATAATATTGTTCCAGCCAGTCTTACACATGAACCGACCATTGTAAGAATTTTTTATTTTTAATTTCCTAAATACAATAAAGCTGGGGCGAAAATTTAATTAAACTTTCGTTATCAAAAAAGGAAATATGCGCTGCTAAACTATACTGACCCAAAAATGTAAGAAATTAAAAGATTAAAACTTACCTAATATCATTTATTCTCTAATTAAGATTGGTCTTCCAAAAAAATAAAAGAGATTAATTAATATATACCACTCAAGTCTTATATGGGTTTGGAAAGTTGGGGATTTCCAATTTCCGTTTTTGCATGTGATAGTACCCTGACTTGAGTGCAAGCTTCTTCCATTGCATTCAAATACACAGTCAGCTTTCCAATCAACTTCGTCTTTTCAGCTTTCCCATCAGCTTTGTCTTTTTCAACCTCCTTACACGATTTTACATAAAAAAAAAAATAATTGGTTACTTTTACTGCTGTTAAAAAATTGATAATTCATTAATTTTTAATAAATTTTTTTAGATTCCTATTTATTTTTTTGGTCAGGAAGTCAAATATTTTTTGCATCTTAATTAACACAATTAACTCTTGTAGATATTAAATATAAAATCGAATTTTTTTATATTAATTAAAAAAACAACATAGACAATAATATTTACATACTTTTTTATCGGTCTATAGATATCTTCTACAGACCTTCATAAGAAATTAATAGAAGAAGGAGGCAATATAAATTGTTAGAGTACCTATAATATATATATATTATTGTCTTTGCATTATAAATAGGAGGGTGGAGTTCGAAGCACAGGCAAGAGCTTCATCTTTGAATCTCCTTAGTTCATTTGTTGTTTGTTGTTTGAGAGAGAGAGGCATGGTTGTGGAGGAATCCAAAAGCCACGTGGGTTTACTGGTAAGCCCCGGGATGGGCCACCTCATCCCCGCCCTTGAGTTGGCAACCCGCCTCTCCCTCCACCATAACCTGCAACCCACTCTTTACGTGGTCGCCAC